CCCCAATGGTGACCATGTTCCTGCTCATTCTTTTAGGACAGGAGAGGTTGTCCAGTGGGAATTTTGTAGGGAAATCCTACCATATCCACCCTGTAGGTCTGATTTGCCCCTTCATATTATTTATTGTTTCCCCAAACTCAAAAAGCATCAAAAAGGCCTACAATTTGAGTCCCTTGGGGATGCCCAAACTGCCATTTGACAAGGTGGGCACTGAGGAGTGCACAGTCCTTTGGGGAGGGTTGGGGAGGGAAACACCACCTTCAGAAGTGTAGAGAGGGAGGTGGAGAATATGGCTAGAAACAATAGTTTCATATTTGGGTATTTTCACAAATACAGATCTCCGTGATTTTGTAGCAATCCTTTTTGACTTACCCTCATATTTTGGAAGGATTCAGATTCTGAGATTCTGAACTGTGCAGCTTTTAAGGGGAAACCTTCCCCATTTTTTCCTCTTTAAGAGATAATTTCCTGTCTTCTCTCGGGCCTAACACTTTATCCTCCTTATAAACTGGTTGCTAGTCTTTGTATCTCTTTGCTATCCCCTTGATTTTCCCATTTTTCACTCTTTTACTATCATTGGCTCACTCCGTGCTCTGTTTGCCTGTGACTTTCAACATCTGGAACTCCTGTGGAAAAACATGGACAATTGTCTTCCCTGTTTGGATGCTGTGGGAAGGCTACTCAAACTCAACCAACCTCACTGCCATCAGGTCCTTTCCCACTCCCTGCAACCCCCTGGGACAGGGAGAGCTGCCCTTGTGGGCTTCCAAGACTAAATCTTTCCCTGGGAGGGAAGGCTAGGGCTCTCCTCTGGGCGATCTCTCTGCCTATTGGGCTACGCAGCATTCCAGAGCCCGCCCGCTAGAAGCTTGTTGGAGATCTCTGGGACTGCACAGAGGCAGGCAGCAAGTGGATACTGATTTCTTCACAAGCCAGGCCGTGGCTCCAGATTGAGTCACATGAAGGGAAAGTAGTTTAATCAAATAATGGAAAATAGTTTCACCTCATTGAAATCCAAATACCTAAATTTCCTTTGTTGTGCATTTTCTTTTTTCTAGGACCCCCAGAAAAAAAAGTAGTGGTGTACCTTCAGAAATTTGACACAGCACATGATGACCTGGGCCATTCCGGCCATTTCACCATCGTTTACAATCAAGGCTTTGAAATTGTGTTGAATGACTACAAGTGGTTTGCCTTTTTTAAGGTTAGTTTTATGCAGAATGCACTGTCCTTTTAAGTGATTTGATCTTTGAAATCGCTTCTGATTAGGTGACCCTCTGAATTTTAGTTTCAGGTGAAAATGAGGACCAGAACTACATCTTTCTTTCCAAGAGAAGTTAGATGGTATAATATGACCCTTCTTTGAAATCTGTGATTTCACACATTTAAGCATCAGGTTAGAAAAGAAAACAAACAAACACCTATAGTTGAATAGGTAAAGCCTATTTATACTTAAGATCACATTTTGGGCAAGTATACCAAAATTCTTAACTTATTTTCTTTATTATGCACCGTTATTTCTAAATGTTTCTTTAGCTACTTGGCTATGTATTGAATCTCTATGAAACATATAGAAAACATAGATTTTGCTTTATTGAAGTTATGCTGTCTTAATGTGAGAGATTGACTTAAATGGATTGACTATATTAATATGGATAATTTATTTCACTAGAGTAAGACACACAATAAAGAGCATGGGAGGGAGTCTTCGGGCTAGTTCAAGCAGTAGGGGTGCTAGCCCGATCCAGTTTGTTTTCTTCTCCCTGGCAGAGAACTGTTGAATTTCAGTTTTGTATTCTGGTTCAAATTCCATATACATTCGAGCGTACAATAGTTTAACACACATTGCAGTCCGTCCCCAGATGTTTCTTCTGAAATTGGAACTATTCCTGTAACTCCCTGACATTCAAAAAGTAGCTGCTTTTCATTAAACTTAGAGTACAGTATAAATAAAGACAGACCTTTCATGGTATGGGGTTTAGTTTGGGGAACATCTGGTAATAGTTAGCCAAGTCTAAGGATTCATGGGAAAGTGAATAATTAGTAGTCATGTAAGTAAATGAGACTGTTAAAGACCACAAAAGCCAAAGTACTAGCAAAGGCTCAACTTATGAATGTGTTGTGATTTGTCCCCAGGATAAGGTGTTACGTGTGTGCCAGTCATACATCTTAGATTATCTTTCAGCAGACAGTTGTTTTTTGTTTTTAACGTGAGGACCTCTTTTTAAAAAATATTATTGTATTAGAGACTCTTGCAGCTCTTATAATAATCCATATATCAATTGTATCAAACATATTTGTACCTATGTTGTCATCATTATCTTTTTAAACATTTACTTTCTGTTTGAGCCTTTGGTATTAGGTCCTCTTTTCCCCCCCTTCCCCCCTTGTGCCCCCTTGATAAATTATAAATTATTATTATTTTCATATCTTACACCGACCGCTGTCTCCCTTCCCCTGCAGTTGTTCCCCCCCTCCTCTCCTCACTTTCTCCTACTCTCCTGGTATTCCCATTTCTGTCCCTGAGAGGTTTCCGTGAGTCAAGACCTAGAAGACAGAGAAAGTTCTCTCTCCCTACACGCAGTGGCTACTCTGGTAGTTAACTAGCAGATTTAAGCCGCCCATGCCTCCTGCTGATGGCCAACTTTGTGAATAAGAATCAGCATGAATCCAACATCCAACATGTGGAGATTCATCCAGCCCCTACCTTCCCATTTCTCAATCATTCTGACACCAGCTTCCCAGGCAGCACACTCTCTCTGACCTCAGCCACCTCAAGACCACGCACCATTTTTAGAGGGCTAACTTGGCAGATGCCAGCCACAAGTTTGGAGTCTGCGTGATGTGTCACTTTCACTTGCAGGTTCTGCCTCACAGAGGTCATGGAGAATACTATACTTATGATTACAGATTTATTGCTACAGGATACAAATCAGAGTGGTCGTAAGAAACACATGAGGGAGAGCTGGGAGGCGTGCTAACTGATGCTTCTGTGTCTCAAAGAGGACACGTCACCCTACCTTTGCTAAGGAAACTCCTTAAGCCTTCATAAAAACTCACTGTCATCAATTCGATACTGACCCAGAGCCACCCTGCAGCAGAGGCTAGACCTGCCCCTGTGCCCTGTGGGTTTCTGAGACTGTACCTTTTTATGAGTCAAAAAACCCATCTTTCTCCCTTGGAGTGGCTGGTGGTTTTGAACTGCTGACCTTGTGGATCACAACCCAATATGTAATGACTACACCACCAGCTCTCCTCTGAACATTCATAGTCCTGGCTTTAATTGGCCAGTCTTGCATGATAAACTAAACCCTTCCTCCCGAGAATAGTTCGTGGCTTCCAAGGTGAGTCTTTTCTGGCCTGCCCAGACAAGGGCTCTAGAAGATGGTTGCCCTCCTTACACCACATGGAAAATGGAGTGAGGGCTGGCCAGTGGCAGAAAACCCTCCCTTGTGAAGTTCTCATCACTCACTCACTAACAGTTCTCAAGCCAGGCAGGGCCCAGGTTTTCTCTCTGGAATCTGCAGGAAAAGATATCTTTGTTTAAGCGGCTTCACATAGTTGAAAAAATTCCCATTATCTGAATTCCATTTCTATCATGAACTTTTTAAAGTCCACTTTCCTGGAATGTTGACCTTAATATTCCTCTGTTTCTCTCTATATCATAAATACCAGTCTATTGTCTAGAACAGGGGTCCTCAAACTTTTTTAACCGGGGGCCAGTTCACTGTCCCTCAGACCCATTGGAGGGCCGGACTATAGTTTTAAAAAAACTGCGAACAAATTCCTGTGCACACTGCACATATCTTATTTTGAAGTAAAAAACAAAACGGGGCAAAAACACCCAGCAGGCCGGATAAATGTCCTTGGTGGGCCACATGTGGCCCGCGGGCCGTAGTTTGAGGATGCCTGGTCTAGAAGGTCCCAGGTAATGCATAACCCTTAGCAGCAGGAAATGCGATTGTAATTCATCATTGGAAGGTAATGGTAGATGCACTGGTCCAGGTTGACCAGAGGAGGGTTTTTATACTCATCACACTGCTATGCACGTATTTGATGCACATGAACACTTCGTTGGTATTTGTTTTAAAAAAAATGAGATAAAGTAAATCAAGTGAAATGAATTAATGTTGTAGAATTGAGCTGGGGAAATAGGAAGTTGAGTAAATTAAGTGGGAGATGAGGCGTAGTATAAAAATAAATGAGTTTTATTCATTTAGTTTAGGAGTGGGGATCCAAATAGTTTTACTCATTTGGATTACTCACTTGGGAAACGAGTGGGGAAACTTCTAAAACCACTGTTTAGTTACGAGGGAAAAAAGAATCAGAAGTTGAAGAGGACAGTTTCATTCCATTAATATTTCCCCAGAAGTCTGTGTGGTCTCAGTTTCAATAGCAGTCTGGAAATCGTGCAGATGGAGAGAAAGGCTGGCAGTTAGATGAGGAATCAACAGTTCTTTATTTGCCTTTTAAAAATCACAGTGTAAAGTCGCTTTGATATTTTGCCATGGCCTCAGACTAAATCAATAGAAAACCACTTTTTAAAGGAAATAGGGGTGTAAGTGTCCTCAAGTGGGAACAGTTAATACTGCTGTATAGGGTGGAACCTTCATTATCATAAACTAATGGACAGCACAGGCTAACACTGTTCTCTCATCAGAATTCACAATACTGATTTCGTACATTCTGTAAACGTGTGCATTTTCCAGAACCTTCATCAGAGCCATGCTTTGCTTGTCTGCTGAAAGCAGCCAGTCTGATTTGTCAGCGCGTGTGCAAAAATCATTTCTTCTTGAAAGAGTAATACAACATTAGCCCCCGTGAGGGGGACATTTAATATTACTGCCACCAAGTCACCTTTGCCTCTTGGTGACACTATGGGTCAGGCAGAAACGCCCTGTGGGTTTCTGGGACTGTAATTCCTGATGGGAGTAGAGTGCCTTGTTTCCCTGCCATGGAGCGGTTGGTGACCTTGGGGTAGCCCAATGCATGACCACTATGCCACTAGGACTCCTGAGGAGGAGATTAAAGAGGTCTCAAATGGCCATTTATCCCCCAAAAATGCTTATGCCAGAACGCTTCCCCTTAGTATATTCTTTCATTTCCCAGGATTCCACAATTCGTTTCAACATCTCAAAGAACTCATGAATTGAGGAGGTTGGTACTTACCAAATCCCAAATTCAAAGGTTTGTCTGGAGGAGCCTCTTCATCTACAAGCCTTTGAAAGCTTGTGAATCAGATCAGGTGACAAACTGCTGCTAGAGTCCCAAAAGCCAGTGGTCAGGCAGGTGTAGGGTCCAGAGCAAGAGAGCAAAATGTCTGAAAGTGAAAGTGGGTTGTGTGTCCCTCCCTGCCATCGCAACTCATAGCAACTCTACGGGACCGAGTAGAATTGCCCCTGTGGGGTTTTGAGATGGACGTTTTACACGAGTAGAGAGCTTAATCTTCCTTGCTCGTAGCAGCTGGTGATTTTGAACTGCTGACCTGTGGTTACCAGTGTTTTGGAATTCTCATTCTTCTCAAGGCTATTCATAGTTTGTTATCATGCACACTGTCAAATGTCTTTCCATAGTCAACCAAACACAAGTAAACATATTTCTGGTTTTCTCTGCTATCATCTGACATCAGCAGTGATATTCCTCTTTCCATGTCCTCTTCTGAATCCAGCCTGAACCTCTGGCCACTTTCTGTCAATGTGCTGCTGCAACCATTGTTGAATGATCTTCAGCAAAATTTTACTTGCTTGTGATGTCAGTGATATTATTCTATGATTTGAGCATTCAGTTGGGTCACCTCTTTGAGGTGGACACACATATAGAGCTCTTTCAGTCAGCTGGCCAAGTAGCTGTCTTCCAAGTAAATGCTTCTAATGCTTCTTCAGCTTGTTGGAACTTTTCAATTGGTGTTCCGTCCATTCCTGGAGCCTTGATTTTGGCTGATTCTTTCAGTGCAAGCTCATCCTTCTTCCTTCAGCACCATTGGCTCATGTTGCCTCCTGAAATGTTTGCATGGTGACTAATTCTTTTCGGTACAGTGACTATGCATTCTTTCCATCTTCTTCGGATGCTTCCTACGTCATTTAATACTTTTTATGTAGAACCTTTCACTGTTGCAAGTTGCGGTTTGAATTTTTTCTGAGTTCTTTCAGTTTAAGATATGCTGAGCATGTTCTTCACTCTTGCTCTTTTTTTTTCTAACTCTAGGTCTTTGCACATTTCATTACAGTATTTTCCTTAGTCTTCTCAAGCTTCCTTTTGAAAATTTCTAGTCAGCTCTTTGACTTCATTATTTCTCCCATTTGCCTCAGCTACTCTGCAACTAAGAGTAGATCTTTTCTTTCTTTCCTGCCTTTTTAATGATTTTGCTTTCTGCACGAATGATGTTTTTGATGTCTTCCCATAGCTCATTAGATCTTCAGTCACTAGTGTTCAGTGCATCAAATCGATCTTGATATGTTCTTGAAACTCACATTGGGTAGGCACGAGGCCACATTTTGGCTTTTGAGAACTTGTTTGTATTTTGTTCAACTTTAACCTAAACGTACATATGAACAATTGATGTTCTGTTCACCATCAGCTCCTAGCCTGGTTTTAGCTGCTGATCTTGAACTTCTTTATGTCTCTTCCCACAGGTGTAGTAGTCAACTTGATTTGTGTGTATTCCATCCAGAGCAGTCCATGTATAGTTGTATAGTTGTCTTTTGTGTTTCTGAAGAAGGTATTTGTTATGAACAAGGATGGTCTTGCTATGGCCAGGTGGGTCGTGTTAAGTGAATAGCCACATAACAGTTTGTGATTGGGCAAACTTAGTGTTAACAAGGGCCACCAAAAGTGTTTGACTTGCTTACTATCTAAGGTCAACTTCGTCTGATCACTTTTCCTTTAAAAAAGTCGGCCCCAAGGATCTACATCTAACCTCCTCCCTGGGGGATGGGCAACAGAAAGTGGGTGAAGGGAGACACCGGGCAGTGCAAGATAATATAAAATAATAATTTATAAACTATCAAGGGTTTAGGAGGAATGGGGGAGCGCGGAGGGAGGTGGGGGGTTGGGTAAGGAAAATGAGCTGATTCCAGGAGCCCAAGCGGAAATCGAGTTTTGAGAATGATAAGGGCAATAAATGTATAAGTGTGCCTTACACAATTCCAGTATGTGTGGATTGTGATAAGAGTTGTATGAGCCCCAATAAAATTATTTTTTTTAAAAGTCTGCCCCAGCACTATTTCAGTTAAACTTAAAAAAAAAAAGAACATTCAATAAGCAAAGTAAAATATACAGAAGATAATTGTTTTAAAAGTTTAAAAACTTCTATCACAATGCAGTGGTTTCAGATAAACATATTATAGAGATAAAATATCTTGTTCCTTTTGCACGTTTAACTCAAAGTGTGATAGGGCACAGACTTTTTAAAAAGGATAAATGATAAGATGAAACTTACTTTAGATAATAAGTGAGTCAAACACTTTGGGTGACACTTGCTTAGGTGAAAGTTTGCTGAATGTTACTACAAATGACAGGGTGTTTCCAGAAATTCTGGGGAAATCATGCTGGGTAGGGTGTTTATCTCCAGAAAACTGCCAACCTGCTTCTTGAGAGACTTTTCAATGGTACACATGAGAATTTACCCTATAAGCTTAGAATGTATCTTTTAAAAGAATTTTTTTTATAAAGAATCACCAAAACTTAAGCAGTAGCGACTATTTAACTTGACATGTCTTATCTAAATGACAACACTGCCTACTCAGTTTCCTGTTATTACCGACAAATCTGGCAATTGTTGGTGAAGTGTACCACCACTTACATACATTGTTACTCTTCAAAGCAGTTGGATTTTTGAATCTCCCTTGATTCATACCTGACCCTACTGTTGGCTTCCTTCTGTCTTTTTCTGATATCCTTTCATCATATTGTTGTTTAATTGCTCCAGCGACAGTGTTGAGCAGTTGACACCTGGTGAGCGTTCCCTTAGACTCTACCTCCTGTTCCTGGAGAACATCATGTAGTGCAACAAGGCATTAGCCTCCCTTTGAGGCAATTGTGAAAACAATCTTACTTGCTCTAAACTTGTTTAATTTCTTTTTGTTTAGATCTCCCCCTAAAAGATCAGCGTTTTTCATGGTTTGGGTTTGTCTTCCTTTCCCAGGGCTGCCGTAACAAAAATCCCACAATGTGGATGGTTTCAAAGAACAGCAGTGTGTTTTCTCATAAGCTGGAGGCTAGAAGACAACTTCAGGGCCTGTGCAGGACTCTGCTCTCTCTTTGCATTTTAGGGGAAGGTCTTCTCTTGTCTCTCTTGCTTCTGGTAGCCCCACTAATGTCTTAGCTTTTAAAGAGATCCTTGATGCTGGCTTCAACCTATTTCCTTGTGAGAGTATGACCCCTATTTCCCTGTCAGTTCTCAGATTTTGTAAGAAACGAAGAGATCAGGATATATTCAGTGTGACCTCTATAATTTTCTGCAAAAACAAACAAAACAAAAACCTCCACCACCCCAATGCCCCCTACCCCTGGTAAGGCTCACAGACACCAGTACGGGGACCAGGCTTTCAACACGTCATGTTGTGGAGACATAATCCATTCCCCAACAAACACCTATGCGTTTCCCCCACCTTTGCCTTTAACTGCTTTGAGAACTGGGTGGTAGAGTGGGGATAGACTTGGACCCCTGGAGATTTGCACAGGACACACTAACTATGCATTTTGTTTATTGTACCATTTCCTTCTTCCCGAGGCATGGACTTTCTCAACCCCTTCAAGGGGATGTAAACTCACCAGCCAGCAGGGTCCCTTCTGGAGGGAACCTTTGACAGTAAAACCCAACTTCTATGAAATGTTAAGGAATATTTGGCCTAGGGCAAAATGGACCTGTTCTTAGGCATTCAGATTCAACTTTCTTTTAAAACTACTGTGCCCAGCCAAACAAAAGGCCCCATTACATTGAGGAGCAGGTATCTAGGTGTGGGTGTATTTGGCGCCCTCCAACACATTTGTATTACTTAATTGTACCTGCAAATGAAAATCAACTGACTGTTTACTGAAGGGCAGTGGAAGGAAACACAATAAATAGAAATGTTTAATCATAGCTGTCTTATTGTGGTGGGAGGATAAAATATTATTGTTTTTTGTTTGTTTTATACACTTTATGTTCTATGTTGAGCATGATGTTAAAACAGTGTATTTCACTGAGTTACTCTGTAGAATGCAAAAGTTTTATTTAGAGATTTGGAAATCAAGAAGCATCCAGCCTGAAAGACTGCACCTTCCAAAGAACAAGAAAAGAGTCAAGGTTTTACCCCGACAAGCTTATGGGAAACCTTAGCTACTTGGCCTGCAAGGATTAATCGACTTGGAATACAGTCTAACCGGTTGTCTTTTGTTAACAACAGAAATTGGGGAGATTCTGATTAACAGGAAATTGGCAAGCTTTAATTTGGTTTTGCCTGGTTTATGACATGAGCTCAGCACGAGGGACTCCATGTCGGGTTAATGATTTAGATGATGGCTGTGTAACGTACCACACCACACCAACCTCACTGCCATTGAGTCCATGCTGCCACACAGCAACCCCCGGTGGGTTTCCGAGACTGTGACTGGAACGGAAAGAGAAAGCCCAGTCTTTCTCGGGACCAAGCAGATCGAAACCCAACTCCAGCACCAGTCACCGCTGGGTCATTTTAAACTCACGGTGATCCTGTGTGTCAGGCGAGAACTGTGCAGCGTAGAGATTTCAAGGCTTCAACCTTTCAGAGGCAGATCTGCAGGCCTTTTTCCTGAGGTGCCTCTGAGTGGCTTGGAGCCACTAACCTTTCAGCTCCTAATTGAACAATCAATATCCTCTTACAAATTGCCCAGAAGAAAGAAGTCATGTGAAACAAAACTCAAAAAGACAAAAAACAAAAACACTGTCCCAACTAAATAGGCTTTCTAACCTTTTCTAACTTCTCTATAGTTTCTCAGAAGGAGTAAAAGAAACTGATTGGAAAAGGGAGCTTAAGACAAAGAACTCATTTGACTTTGAAGATTCAGCTTAGACAAGGGCTGAAAAAGATGCATCAAAAGGACACTTGGGCTTGGTTAGGTAGAAGATTTTATTTGGAAACACTTGGGGAAACTTTGCATTTTTTTTTTTTTAGCTTTTGATTGGGGTCATTAATACCAATGTCACTAAAAACATTGCCAGGAATGTCTGTAAAGCTGATTGCAACTCAGAACAAGACTAATGTGTTGAGAAATCCACGCCAAAGGATTTAGTAACCATCCTCTAGGTGCTGTTAACTTCTAACTGTCGAACTTTCCAGACCAGCCAGAAATCTATTATGTAACCGTAAGGAAGAATTTGAGGATCTCGTGCCATTTCTTCTATTCTGCCTTCTAGGTTCATTTTTTAAGATATAAAATTTTGGATTTTGTTACTGTGGTAGGTCTACTTTTTTTTCATATACACTACTCATGAACAGATTCAGTGCCTCACAATTAGAATTTTCTTTTTTAAAAAGTGACCTAGACTTTTAAGAGTGTTTTAATTGAAGGAAAGTATCAGAAATACTTTGGTTGAAGGGAAGTATCCGGAATTTAGCACTTAATGCATGTTATCATTTGTTTTTATCTTTTGATTTTTCATGGTGATCCTTAATCTCAATATAATGAATGACTCAGTATACCATTGTAAACTTTTCTTAGGATGTCACTGATTTTATCAGTCAGTTATTCATGCAACTGGGAACTGTGGGAATATATGATTTGCCACATCTGAGGAACAAACTGGGTGAGCTTCATTGAACTACTTTTAATTTCCTTCTATAAGCAAGCTTTTTTTTTTCCCCTGGTGGTTTCTGCATACCAGTGGTCATTTAGCAGAAAGAAGGCAGCCTGAAAAGGTGATCGCTTTCTTCTAGGATGCTTGCTTGAGCCTGCTTATCTGCTGCTACTTAAACCTGCTACTTAAAATTGTGAATGATATTTTTCCCCACTTTCATATGTTCTGTTTACACACATCAAATAGACTCAAGTGCTTTTCAAATAGACCAGAACCTAAAGAGGCAATGGCTCAGTTAAACAAAGATTGGCCCAATTCAGTCCACACCCTTGAAGTATGAAGGTCTGAAGATGGTTTTAAATGGGTTCAGAGAGAACCTGTGTTGCCATAGGTTGCTTATATTTTTTATGAGGACTCCCTCCCTCCAGAGAGAATCCTCATGTGAGGCCCTGCCAATTTAGATCTGTTCTCCAGCAGAAGATGGCTTTTCCAGAGAAAGGGGCATACCCGTAACTTAGCCCTTTGTATTACCACCCATCTTTCTGAAACTGGCTCCTATTCACAGCGTGGGATGTTGGCTGGAAAGAGAAGGATCACTTGCATTCTATATTTGCCTCCATCTTAGGAGTTGAAATCATTGTTCTCTCTGAACCCGTAAGATTAGATGTCCAAATTATGATGGAAGAAATGGAGTGGCTAGTTGATGGAAACTTATACTTCTTTGCATTTCAATTAGCACTCGCCCTTCGTACTTCACGGACCCCTGACATCTTAGAAGTGAGATAGGAGAAAAGGAGCTGACAGCGTGCCCTCACTTTCGTTTCAGCCCTTGCCAAATGTGAAGTGGGCCAGTAGTGGTCCATAAAGCTTCCACGTCAGCATTGCTTATCAGCTGGGCCACTTCTTCACATAACGTTTTCGAGATTTTTCCAAATGTCAACAATAAACAACTGAAAACTCCATGAGCAGATTGCTATGCACGTTTCATGGATCATCTGTAATTGGGATATATACCATTTCCTGTGTTGGCGAGCACCCCACTGTAACGAGGATTCTGAAAGTGTGTCGACAGCGTCGTAGAGGCGTTCTGGTGGAGCAGTGGTTATTGTGCTGCACTGCTAAATCAAGACAACATTTTCTGACTGGACGTTTGTATTAAAAAGCAGTACGTATTCAAATCATTTTAAAGTTTAACCATAAAATTTGCCTACACGTTTCCAAGACAACCACAAGATGACTAGTTACTAGGCATCTGATGGTTTCAGGACAGGTGTGTTTACTAATCTTGAAACAGGTTATGTTCATCAAGCTGGAAAACAAGATGGGCGTATGGACATTGATGACTTCCTGAAAGAATATCTCAAGTGAAAAGTAATATTTAATGAAACCTGCCCTCTTGTTGTTTCCCTGGATCTAGGCACCTTGAAACAATTAGGGAGAACAAAATAATCCTCTCCTAAAGGTTTTGTTTAAACCAAAGCTAAATGCTCTATCCGTTATAGAGCATACTATTCTAACAACAATGACCTTTAGTGACGTGGGTAAAACCCTTTCAGGTTTTATAATGCACACTGGAACTTAAAAAAAAAAAAAAGCAACCCTTAATAACCAGTCAAAGTGAGCATGAGAGTTGAAAATAATAAACTATCTCCTGAATTCTTTTCATTAGTTGAAAAAATGTACATCATGTCAAATAATCTAACTTTAGGATTTTTCAGAATCTTCATTATGTTTTATGGTGGGTATCTTGGGAGGAAAGTACCATAAGCAACTTTTCCCAAAAATCAGTTTATTTTTTCCTACAAAAAAGTAAATTAATCTTGTAATGCTGTTTATAAAAATCTGCCCTAAATGTCTTCACTTTTCATTATCATTTGGGAGACTCTCCAGCTAGTATGAAAGATAAGCCCTGACACACTATAAATGAGACAAATAGTCTAGTTCCTGGGAATATGAAGCTAAGGAAAACTAAGCTCACATTTAGAATGTGTGAGGGATACATGACAATAGACCTAGGTTGGTAGAGTTAGCCTAGTTACTAAATGCATTTCAAAATCATTTCAGGTTTATACCATAAAAGTCCATTTTCAAGTGCATCTGCATGTGCTTCTTACGCATGTTGGCTACTTGTGCAGGAAACGTTGCTTAAGTATTCTGCTTGAGAATGTCAGCTTTTGATGAATGTCTTAGTAGCATGGAAAAAAATACTAGCTTCTCAAATCATTTTTTACTGAACTTTAATTAATATGCTGAACATTACTGATTAATTTGACCAAATCATTTTATGCTTCTCATTTTTTTGTGATGTAACCATTTTTCATTAATGGAATGCATGTGGAAACCCTGATTGCTGACACTGTTGTGAAATATGCTGGCTTTTTAAAAAATAATTATGTGGGTCACATTGTACCAGTGGACTCTAGAGGAAGAATAGGTGGAACAAGGCAGGGGGGAAAAAAACTCATTTTAAAAAAATTGAGTGAGTGAAACCTTTGAAAACATCAAGCACCCCTACACTGGCTGAGCATATTTGTTTAGAAGGCTGAGTGATGGGGGAAAAGATGGAGGCGGTATTTTTTCATACCTGTGGTAATAGAGTAAATCAAGGTCATGTGCTTCTGTATTTCCTGAAATCATTTACTCTTTTGAACATTTTCTATAACTGATAACCACACCTTTCCAAAGGAAACAGTAAATACACCTAAAAGCCTTACCCCACTTTATAGAAGCCCTAAGAGACACAAGCTTCCCAAAATGTCACCTTCGGGATGGACCATCCCATACAACGACCTCTAACCAGCAGTCTGGCACTGATAGTCTTCCTTCCATTTTACCGAATTGTTCAGATCCCCGCCCTAATGCCTCCATGTACAAACCCCCAAATCCCAGAGGTAGGAAAATGTAACTGTACTTAAATGCACCAGTGTTTATGAGCTTATAACCCTGGCTTTTATTGTCTTGTAGTTGTTAAATAGAGCATCTGCTGAGGCGCTCTTTTAAAGCCACCCAGCCACGAAAGGACAGACTATGTGACTCTGAGGCAGAGCAGCACAGCAACCTATGTACCTCTGGCAACTAGCAGAGGCCTCGCAGCTACAGTCTGTTCTGCAGTTTCTATTTGCACAGAAATTTCAAAGGAGCCCCGGGACCTCCTTCGAAGGCAGCTGCCCTCCGGAACGCTTCCTTGAAGGCAGTAATCACCATTTTGGAATGTGAAACACCAGAATCTACACAGGAAAAAATAAAAATGTATATCTCTGGAAGAAAGGAAGTCTTTAATGGCTTCACCAGTCAGCCTTTTAATCAAAGGAAATCTTTGCAACGTGTTAACTTATTTTATAATTCTTTTGAATACTCCTGCATGGAAATGATCTTTCAGGATTATGATTTGATTTAAAAAAAAATAATATTTCATTTTATTCATTGTATCAGATAAGTTGCTAATTCCTAAGTACCTTCCGTTTCTCTTGTTACCTGGAGGAACTTCAGAACCTATGGTACGGAGAAAATGAAGTATCACTTGTGATACACAGCTCTAAGTTAGTGATGGCCAGAGGTCCTTTGGAGCACTGTTGAAAAGGTAGCCAACCTCATGAAGGGTCTGCTGAAAGTAGCAGGCCGATAGGATGCTTGTTCATAAAGATGGCGTGGTTAATTATCTGTTTTTAGTAGGTGCTAAGTTCTGTGCTAAGAATTTGATGTACTTTGCCTGACTAAAAACTTCCTATAGATAATAGCAATTCTATGTTACAGAGAGGTCAAATGAGGCTCAGACTAATTAGCATTTTGCTTAAAGTCACATGACTGTAAATATGGAAACTCTAGTTTTAGCCTTTCAAGTTTAAGGTCTTCCTTGTAGCTAAAGAACAAAAGAACAACCATTTCACAAAGAACTTATGGTATTTGGGTCACATTTGAGTTGATTTTTCTGGTGATTTTCAGCCCATATGTATCATTAATGTTACTTTGGTGATGTATGAACTGCATTAGCTCCTACTGAAATCTTAGGGAATTATTGGCGGGAAGCTTAGGTTCCCTTACCTAAGTTTCCAAATCACTTCATTTTCTAAACCAAGGTCCTTTCAGTCAAGGTAAAAATTTACCTTCCCCTTTCCTTGATCATTCTAAAAAATGGAGAGCTTTATAAACTCCAAATTAAGTACTTCTGACAAATGGACCTCTCAATCACACTATTCACAATGATTGCTATGTGTTAGCCTTTTCCTGCTAAACAATGACTGATTTCCTTCTTCGCTGGTTTAAAGCAAATGCATGCCACTACTCTAATCTCCTCGGGTTGCCTTGGGTTAGAATCACCTCTTGGGTGACTAACAACAGCAGTACCCAGTCCTGAAAAGCCTAAACTATGAGACTCCACCTACACTATATTATCTGGGTGATTTCTTTATTTGTTCAGAGTTCTTATACCATCTGAGAAGTTCTGATGTGCTGTTCTGAGCATGTTATATTTCACAAATATGATATAAAAACTTGGATACTTTTTTCTTTCTTCACCTCTCACTAACTCACTGCCATTGAGTTGATGCCAACTGAGTGGGCCTGTGCGACAGAGTAGAACTGCCTCTGTGAGTTTCCAAGACTATAACTTTGTAGGAGTAGAAAGCCTCATCTTTCTCCCGAACTGTTGGCTGGTGGTTTTGAACTGCTGACCTTGCTGTTAGCAGTCCTCCACATAACCACTATACCAGTCTTCTCCTCCAGAACTGACACATTCTTCATCACTTAGGACCTGCCTGGGTCCCACCTCCAGAGTGAAACTCCGTTAGAGGGAAAAGTGTTGTGATCTGGGTTCCCAGTGCAGGTAACTCTATTTACTTCGTTGCCCTGTGAATGTTTGATACTATCATGTCATCTATTTCCAGTCCCAATGTTTGTATATCTGTCTTGATCCCTTCAACACCTAGTGCACCTCGAATTTTCTAGGTCCTTGTAAACAAAACAGGAACTGCTGGTCTTTCACAAGTATTCCAGATTACAGGAAAATAATTCTAGGTGACTTGAAATCGACATGATGGCAGCAAGTTTGGGCTTGGGTTTAGGTTTGGCAGGCACGAATCAGGAGTGCTGCTGTACAAGAGGGCTTTGACAAGTTTGGGGGAAAATTCCATTATCTTTAAATTCCATTTTCCATGAACTTTTTTGAGCCCTTCACATTCGCCTTAGGGTCTGTGCTCTAAAAATACCTATTTTCTTGCCTCCAGATTTCAGAAGAGTTGTAGATTCTCAAGCTGAGTGCCAGAGCAACCGTTACATAAGAACGTATTGAGCATGTAATTGAAATTCGCTCTCCTGAAGTTATTCTCGACTTTAGATTTTTAACTTTCTGTCTCGGTGGTTAACTTTGCGTCTAAATGTTTGTTTTGATTGTAGAAGAGATGAATTCATGGACATCAAGTTATAGATATCTGTGTTAGATGGCCCACATTATAATAATGAAATAATGTTTAAATCTCCAGGCCATCATTATGTGTGATCTTCCCCTCTGTTCTTTAAGTTCCATGGAGCAGAGATCATATTTGAATTGTAAACTGTTTTATTCTTTTAAGTATGTACAGCATGACACCTGGCAAATAGCAGACCTCAATAAATATTTGTCAATGGAAAATGCATTTTTGTGCTGTCATTGTTGGCTTGATTGGCCTCAGTTACGTAAACCAGAGCATTGGTCTTTGGGTCCTGAGAGCTTTGTTGAATGATGTAGCTGAAAACAAACTGGATTTAAAATTTTATTCTGTTTAAATTTGTATGTTCTCATTTTTGTATATGTCTGTGGAGACCCAAATGGAGCCCTGGTGACACAGCGGATTTAGCATTGGGATACTAACCAGAAGGTTGGCAGTTCAAACCAACCAGCTATTGGAAAAAGATGGGCCAGTCTGCTTCCATAAATATTTACTTTTTCACAAACCCTGCGGAGCAGTTTTACTCTGTCTAATAGGATTTCTGAGTCAAATCAACTCAATAGCAGAGGAGATAGAGGTCCCAATTAGGGTTCAAAGTTAAATAGAGTTTTGGTCAAGGGAAATGGTATGCTTCATGCCTGCAGTGGTTCCCCAAAGCATGGAGAACCCCTTCAGGCTGGTAAAGGCTGGGCCTCATCTCTATTTAGTGCAGTTCAGAGCACAAGCATAACATTTCTTTAAGCCTCCAAATTTAAGAGTTGATGAGTGAATAAATAAGGAATGGGCCAAGGACCTTTGATTACTTTGTTGAGTGCAATATTGCCATTCTCCTATCTTTAGAGCGTATCTTTTGAACCTTGAGCGCTAGTTTGGAAGTTCTAGCTGGGGAGCACATTCAAGGACAATCCTCCTATCAGGGAAGGTGCTCTTCATCAACTGAGTGTGCAGCTTTGGGAGGGACTCACGTGGAGCGGTGCGAGAGGAAGGGGTCACCCACCCACCCCCACCCACCCAGCTGGATATGTCAAATCAATGCTGGCAGTCAGTGGCATGACAGACATCTCAGCCAGAGAGCCCTTGTCCTCGAGCACATATTTGGCTTAAACTCTTCAGGACGAGGACTAAGTAACTTGGGGGCCTTTCATTTTCAATTGAAAACATAGCTACCAAGTCTCTCAGTAAAATTCTGGAAGCCACTTCGTTGCAACTGCTGTTCACAGTTTCCTGGCCATTGCACAACTCGCTGAACTCCAGCTTCTTACATCAGTCGTTCCGTTTAGCTAGTGGGCAGAACACGAGAGCTGGTCCTGCAAATGACTTAGGGGCGTTTGTTTCTTGCTGAGAAAAGATACGGTCCTCTCTGGAGAGCTTGGCAAAATATCAAGTTAGTACTTTTTTTCTAAATTGTTTTAATATCTTAACTCTAGATTTATGGTTCGTCTTTAAATTACTCAACTTCCTGCATAGTATTCTTTCCTGCAATTATGAGTCTTCTGGGTGTAGGCTGGACTTAAGTTTCTAGCTATTCTTATGCATTCCACAATATGAATATTCACATTCTAAAAACTATAGGCATGGACTGTTAGGCTAATATGCTTGTTTAAAGCATGCGAAGTAATATTAAGTGATTAAATTAGTAATATCACATTTATTCTATTAAAGGTATAAAAGGATATCCTACCAAAATTTATCTCAAGATGATATCATTTGAAAGCAAAATAATATGCTTCATTAATACATGGTTTGATGTAAGGTTGTTACCAAGAAATAATTTTTATGACTGATTAAGTTTAAACATTAGAATTTTTGTAATGTATTTTGTTGGAAATGTTTCAAAACATTTTTCTAAAAACATTCTACTTCTTGTCGTAGCTCTCAGAGCTCAGGCTGTTGTCACTGTCAGGTACCATCTAGTCAGTCCCGTCCATAGCAACTCTGTACAACAGAACTAAACATTGCTGGCCCAGCTCCAGCCTCACAACTGTTCCGATGCCTGAGCCCATTGCGGCAGCCACTGTGTCAGTCCTTCTCATTGAAGGCCTTCCTCTTCTTTACTGCCCCTCCTCTTTATCAAGCACGATCTCCTTCTCCAGGGACTGGTCCCTCCTGACTCTATGGCCCAAGTGTGTAAGATGATGTCTCACCATCCTTGCCTCTAAGGAGCACTCTGGCCTTACATCTTCCAAGACAGATTTGTTTGTCCTTTTAGCAGTCCATGGTACTTTCAGTAGGAAGACCAAAATGGATGCATTTGAATTGTGGTGCTGGTGAAGAATATTGAAAGAACCGTGGGCTGAGCTATGGTTAGAAATAGAGAAAATGTAAGATTAGCCATCAATGTGTACATCATTATTTGGAAATTCAAAATTATTTTCAGGAATTATTTGAAGCCGTGGACTCCATTTATCAATTTAAATAGGTTAACCTATAAAAGGGAATAAATTTAATGAAGTATCACCATTTCATAGTTACTTAGCACCCTGGCACATTGTATAGGAGAGGTAACCATCTGACCACATCTGGACTGAGTAAGAACATAAGCAATGGTTTCTATATTAAAGAAAGTTTTTTTTCCATTTTATTTTCCTATTGTGAATATGTAGAAATGGAAATTATAATATTTTCTTAACAGTATTCCAAAAATTAATCTTTCCCTACTATCTTTGGGAGGAGAGGCTCTCTACGTCAGAATTTGCTGAATGGTTTTGCTTTTGAGTTGGCAAAAGAGGGTTCATTGTGAGTTCATTGTTACTTGCTCAGTTGAGTGTGTTTTAGAATATAAGTTCTTTGAAGACATGAATGAAGATTCAAATAAGTTTGAATCCCACTTATAACTGATGGTGATGTGCATATCATTATTTAGGGTTTTTAAACATAGATTCTATAAATTTCAATATTATCTCTCTGCTTCATAACAATCCCATAAAACATGGGTATCATTCCTACTTTCAGGTGAAGAAATTGAGAATCACTAGTTAATGACTTGCTAAAGAATACATAAATGAGTGATAGAACTGGAATTTAAAGGCCAAAGTTCTTTTTATTAAACTTACCTCTCTCCTAGCCAGTGAATTTCCTGAATTTAGTATTGAAATATCTGCTATTTTCTGAAGTGCAAAAACTATGGAACAAGCCTTAATTGATCCCTCTTCCTCCTCAACAACAATTAACTAAGAGATACAAGAAAAATAAATAACCCAACCGATTCTATTTTTCAATAGTTTATACTACTAAAAGAAGAACCCAAAGCCATTGAGTTGATTCTAACTCGTAGCCACTCTATAGGAAAGAGCAGGACTGCCTGTTGGGTTTCTGAGATTTTCAAATCGTTACAAGAGCAGACAGTTTCATCTTTCTCCTGAGGAGGGACTGGTGTGTTCAAACCACCGACCTGGCATCGTGATTAGCGACTCAATCACTGTGCCATCCGGGATGAAATTGGAAAGTTGATTCGGTGAATCAGAAATTGAAGAATGGAACTATGGGGAATGTATAGCAATTAAGGGCATATTGAAAAAGCATATCAAGAGATAGTACATCCTTAATACTAGACTGGCACTTTCTTACATTTTATAAAATGACCTACTTGTTGAAATAAGGATAGGCATAAGTAAACTGCCGTTAGACACTTTATTGTTGTGAACTACCCTCAAGTTTGCTCCAGCTCAGCAGCCCTGTGTCCGACAGCATGAAACACACCTGGGACTGTGGCCCTGTCACAGTCATTGCTAGGTGTGGGCCCACTGTTGCAGGCACTGCTAATCCATCACATTGAGGGTCTTTCTCTTTCTTGCTAACCCTCTGTGACAGTGGTTCTCAATCTTTCTAATGCCGCGACCCTTTAATGCAGTTCCTCATGTTGTGGTGACCCCCCAGGCATAACATTATCATTGCTACTTCCTAACTGTAATTTTGCTACTGTTATGAACTGGAACGACCCCCATGGGTTGAGAACTGGTGCTCAATGACTTGTTCAAGCTTGCTGTCCTTCTGGCGTGGTCTCTCCTGATAACCTGTCCTCCAGAGCACTGGAGATGAAGTTCTGTCCTCCACTCCTGTGTGAGATGAACTTGTTTGCCCCGAAAGACTCCAAATCCATGTCAATTCTTCTTTTCCTCCTCCTCCTCCTTTTTTTTTTAAGCCA